AAAAAAAAAAAACTTACCTTACACTTAACTTATATTTTTGCATTAAAGTAACAAGACTTTGGAGGAAAACTTTGTTTAACTGTCATTAAAATGTCACAGTGCACAAAAAAATGTTATTAACTAAATAAAATGCCTATTAAAGCCTCTCTTGCTTTTGTCATTCACCTTGATTTGACTGATAATATTTCAATATGCCTCACCTTGCTTGGTTTGTCTGTCTGAGGGTCGAACACACGGTCACACAATCTCAGTCCTGTCTCCTGTCGGATTTGTTGCAGGTAAGCCCTCATCGTTTCTGTCCAGGAGAAAAACACGGTATCTAGATCTTTTCTGTAATCGGCAATAACACTTCTAATAAACTCATCATAAAGAAGGTCTTAGTGGATGTTTAAATCAACCAGACCCAGTTAAGTTTTGACTTCACTGTGCCATACCTTCCTCCTGTTTGCTAGAGGGTTTAACATACATGGCATTCAGAGGGAAGCCAGGTTCTCCAGGGATAGGAAAGTTGGTAATTCCCAGCGTGTACATCTCCTTCTCTCCTTGGCCCCTTGAACTGCACTATAAATCATTTATGAGAGAGTTACTTAAGAAGCATTAACTAGGAGGAAAATGAACAACACCTGATAAACAATTCAACACTTAACGTTTGAAATATACATTGAAGCTTTTATTCTTCAATAGTTACCTTCTGGAGCTTCTTGAGGCATTCAGAGATGTAAAGAGTGGTGTAGATCAAAGTCCGATCTGCCTCGTTCTATCAAAAATTAAAAAAAAAGTGAACACTTCAATACAAAATCTCAACAATTAAAGTGAAATTATACCTGACTACGTATGTCGATATGCATATGTAAAGAGTTTGAGGTGACATATCCATGAGAATATTTATTCTTCTCTCTCAGGACAGAAATATGAATGCATGTTAAGGCATGCAAGTGCATTTTTCAGGCTCCTGCACAGTCAGCCTGCTGTACGGTCATCCGTCTTACCTTAATTTCATAGTTCTTGAAG